TTTTTTTTTTTTGTGTGTGTGTGTTCTGCTTCGGAAATAGTGAGTTCAGCGCTTACTTATAAGTAGGGTGTTGTGTAAACCAGCTCATGTTCGCTACTATTCCTCCTTTCAGGCTTTGAGTTTAGGTCTACATCGTACAATGTTGCNNTGCATGCATACATACACACATACATGCTTTACAAAACTACGTACATACAGACATACGTATACATATTTACATACTTACGTACTTACATACATCCTTACATGAATATACATACATACCTACATAGATATGTACATACCTACATGCGTACATACGTGCAAACATACATACATGCATGCATACATACTTGCATACATCACATCACATTACATTACACTACATTACATTACATTACATTACATTACATTACATGACATGAAATGACATGGCATGGCATGGCATGGCATGGCATGACATGACATTGCATTACATTACATTACATTACATTACATTACATTACATTACATTACATTACATTACATTACATTACATTACATTACATACATACATACATACATACATACTTACGTACATACATACATACATGCATACATACATACATACACACATACATACACACACACATACATACATACATGCATGCATAAATTCATACCCATAAATACGTAGCTACGTACCTACCTACATACATGCGGCCATGCATGCAGGCATACACACATACGTACATGCATACATACATAATTACATACACACGCACACATGCACACATGCATACATGCATGCATACATACACACACACACACAGGCCGCTGCAGTTGTGAACCTCGTTATTTCTTGTCGTTCTCCCTGTCACCGTCACGAAAGGCTGCTCCTAATCGCTATCATCCAACAAGAAGCGAAGCTAGACGCAAACCCCTATGATATCACACCCTGAACCCCTAAAAACGACACCCCTCAAACCTACTCCTGAAAGCCCAGGAACAAAAACCCGCGCGAACACTGATCATAGCCTCCCTTCATCCATCCTGAAACTGTAACCCCCGGGTAACTACAAGAGACTAAATCCTTCAGCCGGAACTTCAGCGACATCCTGCAGACACCCACTTCACTTAACCTAACCCATAATCATTCCTAACCCCTACAAGCCTCAAGCTTAAACTGTTCTTTGGGGGAGAGACTTGAAGCTTGCCCCTTGCGTGCTCTTGAAGCCAGCGCCGCGTTCGTGCGGAGCTACCCCGGCTCATCCTTAAACCCGAAATCAGAAACTCCAAGTCCTTCCGAAAGCCCTATGAGACTTCTTAAGCCCAACAAACTTTTGCATCGCCCCCCAAGCCTAGACTCCCTAAAAGCTGACAAGCCCTGTAGTTGACGGAAAAACCCTGAGAGTCGTGAAGCTGTCCCCTTGTCTCCTGAAGCTCCTTCGCTCGGTAGGCGGCATCGGCTTCCGCCTCAAGGACGGAAGCGGGTCCGCTTAGGGGTTCCTGTGTGGGAGGCAACGGCTTCTCTGAAGGGGTTTACAACAAAGCTGAATAGGCGGATGGGGCGGTGGGGTTGTGCGGTTTCGTGCTTTTTGAAGGAGCCGTCGTGAGGTTGCCTGAAGTAGACAAAGGCGCTGATTCGCTGTTTTCGAAATGTTTCTCAGGCAGCTTGGATTTGTTGTTGGGAGGGGGGGGGTGGGGTAAGGGAGAACTGATACCCTGAAAACTGCAATCTGCAAAGCTGCTAGAGTCTGCACGAACCTGAAGAATATTGCGGCTTTGGTGTTGTGGGGATGAGAGTTTGAGGTAAAGGTTCTGGGAATCCTAGTTAATGGTCCACGTACCTATGCAGTAAATACGGTCGCCCTACATTCGCTATATAGGCAACCAAGCTGCTAAGGTGAACCGGGATAACTATGTCTGTATATACATATGTATATGTGTGTATGCACAGACATACATGCACTTGAGAAAGCCCCTTTGGCTCAGCAGGCTTGATGGTGACACCAGCGGGGGCCATCAAAAGGTGCAAACATGGCCTGTCATGGCCTCCCACTGCTTGAGGACTCTGAAGAAGCAAGCCGGCGCCCGAGCGCTGCGCAGCAGAACTCTCAGTCTGTGCAGGCTCACAGTGTCGAAACACGACCCTAAACCCTAAACCCTAAAACCCTAAACCCTAAAAGCCATAAAGCCCAAACCCCTAAACCCAAAAGCTCACCCTGTCCAAGCAAGCACCAGCCAAAGGCTTGCCATCGCAATGCAAGGCGGCGAGCCAAGAGGAGACCTCGTTACCAGTGCTGACTGCGGGCGGAGCACCGCTATGCACAAGCTCTTCAGCGGCTCCAGGCCTAAGTCTTCGCGTCTTATTGGTCAAAGGAAAAACCATCACTACAAACGATATTAAGGCCTTGTGGTTGATGATGCTGCCTTTCTTATTTTAGACACCCGGCAATCAGCAACTGACTCCTGAACTCGAACATTTACATAAACATCACTGCCAGGCTCGGAGGATTCAGCCTTTATGACTGTAAGGCTCAGGCTCTTGGGCCCACAGATCACACATGCATGCCCTAAACCCTAAACCCTAAACCCCATGATGCACATGTCATGTAGCCAAATGCCTCGAACAGCTACGCCCCCCAGCACCGAGGCCCGAAACCCTCAACCCCGATCGCCGGTAACTATGGGGTTTAGGGTTTAGGGTTTAGGGTTTAGGTTTAGGGTTTAGGGTTTAGACTATGGTTACCTGGCCAAGCCCTCTGGCATGTTGTTGAGAAAGCCTACTGAGTATTAGTATACCCATAATACAACCCGACGTATACGCTTCGCCACTTTCACAGGAACCCCACATACACTCACCAAATCCCCAATGCCAGCGCTGAGTGCTCAATGTCAACCCCAAACCTATTCAGAACCCAGATATAAAAACCAACAAGCACTATGAATGAACCCTGCCTAAACACCGAAGTCATCTTAACACTTGTACGCAAAATCCCAAAAAACCCTAAGTCCTACACCCTACTTCCGGTGAGCTTAGACGAGGCCAAGCCCGCAACCTTGGCTCGTGCCGCCTGAAAGTCAGGGCAGTCGTTGGGGCTAGGGTTTAGAGGATTGTTACGGTAGGATGTAGGATTTTTGTTTTTCGGTAGGATGCACAAAATGTACGGTGGCACGTACAGTAGGTTTTACGGTAGGCTGGAAAAAAATGTAAGATTTAAGTTTTTGCGGTAGGATATAAAATTGTTACGGTAGCATTTAGATTTAGGGGTTTAGATTTTTGGGGTTCGCGGAGGGTCGTGCTGTGTTTTTTTGGGCTTAGATAGGGATATGACGGTAGGGTCTTTGGGTGTGTGGGGCCTGGGGTCTTTGCAGAAAACCGTATACACTACAGGTTCAGATTCTGGAGTTTAGGAGTTGTGGGGATTTTGCTCTACAGATGCGGCCAAAGGCTGAACCGCAGGGCTGCAACAGGTGTCTTTGTGGTGGTTGTCCGAATGTTGAGCCTGAGAGATATAACCAGGAAGCTTCACAACAAGAAGGACACCACACGATTACACAAGGGTTTAGGGTGAGGATGTTGTCTCACAACATCTCCAGAAGACTTTCAAAGGGATTCCGGTATGATGAAAGAGTCGAGCCTGCGTGTCCGACGCATGCTGCATCATCGCCGACTGAACCGCTTGCTGCGCGGCCTGCCGCTGAGATGATTGGGGGATTTCTTCTTCGAAGGCAGAGCCCTTGGTCCCGAAAAGTTACTCGGTTTTGGGTTTCGGGCTTATGGCTTCCATAGTGTGTAAAGAGGGTCCTTGCTGCAAGGTGTAGGGTCCAGAGTGTCGACTTTTCCATCGAAGCTTCTACAAGACGAGGCGGAACAGAACTCCACTCCACGACCGGCTTCAAGAGCTGAAGCCACGGACCGAAAGACGTGGGCATGCTTGCGAGGATCATCGCAGCAGCAAGCCCAACGACGAGAAGCTCAATTCTGGAGCGCTGGAGCACCACAGCTGCTGGCAAAGATGCCCCAAGGAGACCGCAAGGACTGCACCCTCTACCCCAAAGCCTAAGTTGGGGCCCATCATAGGATAAGTATAATGAAAAAAACCCCGAAATCGTATAGATAATTATGTATGGGCCCCAACATTACGAACACGTTCAACACCGACCTTTGGTTCAGATCTGTTCAGTAACTGCAGGCCACCTAAGTGGAGTGAGCGCTGTCTACGACACCTGTCGATACTGCAGCCGCCTTTGGGAGTATTTTTCGAAAACAGGGGACCCGAATCTAGTAGCCTAAATAGTAGGATCCATATTATAAGGACCCCAAAATAAGGTATCCTAATTTCTGAGTTTCGGTTTCAGGGCTCAAGGCTGCTGCAGGGCTTATGCCGCGTAGAGTCACTGAGTCACGGCTCGTGGAGCTCATTTGGGCTCAGGGTCCTGCGGTCTAGAATCAGGCTTTATGCTTTAGGGCTTCAGGAGTTTTCAGGTTTAGGGCTTGGGTGTCTTAATCTTAGGCCTTAAGGAACTGCTCGCTTCGGGGGTTCTGAAACCTGGAACTATTTGCTTCGGACGGGGGCCTGGGTGTCCGATGCATGCTGCATCATCGCCGTCCGAACCGCGTCCTGCGCAGCCTCCACATGGCCAGTACACAGCTTATAAGGTGCAGTTGTTTCTGTTGACGGACCGTTTCCGATCTGCTGACAAAGGGTTCAGGCTTTACGGTTTTAGGGTGTAAGGCTTAAGCTAAGGTTTAGGTTCTATCATCGTTCAAACCAGGAGACCTGGTCCGGAGAAGCGAAAGAACACTCCACTCCACAAGCTGGCGCAAGAGCTAGAGATGGAGTACCGCATGTGGGCACTACTCGAATGACAGAAGCAAGCCCAGCCAACAAGGAGTTCAGGAGTATGGCAAGTCTCATGCTGGCCAAGACTGCGCCCCCACCGAAACGAGCGCAACAAACGTAACCTAAACCCTAAACCTCAAACCTATAGTATAACTGCTTTGAACCGGTCAGAGTAGCCCCCAAAAGGATCCCTGCTCAAGCCTTGAACTCTAAAGGCATTGGTTTCGTACACTTCGGCCAGTTCAGCGAAGCTTGGTGAAGCGCGGCTTTTGCGCAAGGCTTGGAGGACATCGCGAGGCTTCAAGGCAGAACTTGTTTGTTCAGGCTCGCGGCAGCAAGAAAGTTCTATAAGGGATCTACAATAACAGGGTTCTATATTAGGGGCCTCAATGAATAGAACAGGGCTTTAGGGGTTTTATGAAACTATAATCATTTTTCCTGAGGCCTGCGTGCCGGAGGCGTGCTGCTGCATCGCGGACTGAACTGCGATCTGCGCGGCCTGCGGACGCCGGGCGCTTGCAGCTTCAGAGCATGGGATGTTGCAGAAAGCTGCATAATATAAGGGCCTTAACAGTTAGAACAGGGTTTTGGGGCCCAACATGCTATAATCATAGAAAGGAACCCCCAAAAAAACATAGGTAATTATTTAGGCCCCTACAGTACCTCTATAGGGACCCCTAGAAATATCTAAGGGATGCGGGCCTGGGTGTCGGATGCATGCTGCATCATCGCGGTCCGAACTGCGTCGTGTGCAGCCTGCAGGTAATGATCGATGGCTGCTTGAAGAGCTTAGAAGTCTTTTCCGAAGCCCCAGACCGACCTAAATACCTTCATGGTAAGTCCTTGTGCCCCTGTAAAATATCCAATATATAATTATATAATACAAAAAGGGCCCGTGCATATACGATATAACAGGTACATGCACTCTAAAGGTTCAGACTGGGCTGCTTTGCGGCTTACCGCAAGGGCCGAGAATTAAAGCACCATCGAATCTTGGCTACCTTTTTAACTTCTTGGCTTTGGGTTTTTTGTTTAGGGTTTAGGGTTTAGGGTGTAGGGTTTTGGGTTAAGGAGGCTTAGGGCTCGCCGTGAAGGCTTTGATCTGGTTCTCGGCTGGGTTTGGGGATTAGGATATATGCCTTTTTGCTCGTAGTACGCAGAGAAAGGAATTTCAGGGGACGTTCTGGAAGTTATGGTAAACTGGGCCACCAGTACGGATTGAGGATCAGTTTAGCATTCAGGGACCTACAAGGTTTGAGGCAGCCCTGCTCGCCATAACTGTTAGTTACAGCCCCTAAGCCCGAACTCTTGCCTTTATGCTGCACCGCAGGCTACCCTTGCAACGGTGACACTATGAGACTGGCTATACGTGTGGTAGGGACGCTAAGGGTTGGTCCGCATCTCACGACATCCTCAGGTCGTCAGTCAGGGAATGGCTGAGGGATAGCTCATTCCCCCTAAACCTTCAAGCCTGAAGGTGTTCTCAAGCTCTGAACTAGGAAAGAACCCTCCGGAGAATGTCGACTGCGTTGTGTATTTCGGGCCAAACGCAACACGGCCTGCTTGATCTCTAGCAGGGAACGAACGGACCCGTGTGCCTACTTGTGGATTTGCTGGTGAATGGGGGAATGACCAAACCCTAAACCCTAAACCTAAGCCCTAAACACTACAAGCTTGGTTTTTTGAGGTGCGGGCTCTAAGGCACCGGGGGTGTGGATGGGTTGGGAAGAAAAACATCCTGAGCTACTGGACTAGAGACCCATACCCATATTCATGCCCATATTAAAGCACTCAAGGAACAGCATTCCTAATGGCTCAACCCCATATATAATCGGATGGGGCCTAACAACTAGAAGGGATGATTGGGCCGGCCAACAGATGCGAGGTTTTGATTCTTGGCGCGGGGCTTCAGCAACGAAGCTTTTGCAGCTTTGGGTTGGGGGGTTGGGTTTAGGGTTTAGGGTTTAGGGTTTAGGGTATAAGGGTTTAGGGTATAGGGTTTTTTTTTTTTGAGCACCTTTTTCCGCCTAGCAGTTAAGGTCGGCCGAATCCGCATTGCGGAAGGTACGGTGTACACTCAGGTCGTTCCACTTGCCTCCCTCTTTTCATCCGGTTGTACTGGTCGCCGAGTATGCCGTCACCCGCGTCGCTCCCCTCGTTTTGCATCTGCCACCGCGTGTGTCGACCCTTGTTTACCATCTTTTGGAGTACCAGCTGGAGACACCGGCATCAGAGTCCATACGTCCCATGTGACTACTTCGGATATCTGTGCCCTGTGTGCATCAACCCCGTTCTTGGCGATGTCGAAGAACAGGCGGAGCCAGCTTTCCCCATAGGTTGTAAGGACCTCCCCATCTTGGATTTCGCCATGGTGCCACTGCCAGTACACACGCCGAAACCGGGAGAACGGCTGCCGACTGTCAAGCCACCAGCCGGCTCGTTGATCCGAAAGTATACTTTGCACACCGACTGCTCTTGTTTCACCCAGTAAAGCACGAGCTTCAGGAAGAATGTGCCCTCGCCCCCATAGTCTCCAACGGTAATAGAGGCTCAGCCATTCTTCTCCACCAAGGGCAACAACTTGCTCATCCGAAATCTCACCCCTGTTCCACTGATGAAAGCCGGTGTCGAAACTGACCCAGGTAGATGTAGAGGCCGTCGGCTCATCCAGTGCGACCGGTGTGATCGGCGACTCATGTTGCGTAGGTTGGCCGGCAACATCAGTCTCTGGGTCAGTAGCGGGGGCAGGGTTGTCGTGCTCAGGACGTGCAGGTCCTGGTTCCGTCGGAGGCATGCAAACGATCGATGGCAGCTCCGCGATGATGGCAGGGAACCCAGAGGCTCGCCACTGCTGAAACAGCCGCAACCATGATGCCCCATAGCTATCAGTGACATAGTTGTCAGCCACAAACCCTTTCTTCCAGATGTCATAGAGCCGAACGAAGGTGCCGTAATCAGGCTTGTAGTCGTTCTCCAGGTTTTCTCGGCCATGGTCACCCGTAGAGCCAGAGGGAGCTGGCAGCGCTGTTTGCTGATGCACAGGAGCTTCCACCACCTGTCCCTGGGCTGCATTCATCGACTCGTCCTCCGCAGCAGCCACAACTTGCTGAGCTTCCATGAGCTCCAGCACTTCCCGTCCGTGTTGACCCATGACATCCGCTGAGGAGAGGTCACCTTTCTGCCAGGCATCGTAGAGCTTCTCGAACTCCTTGAACTCCAGGTGGGAGAGCATTTGCGAGCTTGGGTGTGGTAGTTAACCGCCATGCTCGCTTCGGGACATCTACACTGAGGGTATGCATGACCCTAGGTCGATCCTCGGATCCAGAAGCTGCCTCCAAGCGCAGAACACATCTTCGACGCTTTGTGACCTCCACTCGCCGTTCAAGTTCCGCCTCGACCAGTCTGCGCTCCCACTGTAGAAACTCCTCAGCCTCCTGCCTGAGGTAGTCCATCTCCTGAGCTTGACCATCAGCTGCCTGGCAATGGGAGATGTCGTCCTCCTCCGCGTCGGCCGCCACCATTTGTCCCAGGTGCTTCCCAGGTTTCTCAGCTTGGTTCTTGGCACGATTGCCTTCTTCCTCCCCGGTCACAACTGCAGGTGGCAAGGTAATCCCCGGCAAGAGCGCGGTGAGTTCCTGGCTCCAGTGGTGAATCCAAGCTGTGTCCATGTCCACATCATTCGCGCCCGAGGTGACATCGTCCAGGTAGGCCACAATGAGAGCCTGTAGTTGTCCTGACCGCTCAGCAGCCACAGTGCCAGGCGAAATTGTTGTCATGGCCGCACGGAGCATCAGGGCCCTGCCGCGGCGGACTGCCGCCGATACCCCACTCAAAGAGGTTTGCAAACGAAGCAGGAGGCGGCTCCACCGCCCTTCCATACTATCCTTTCCCCCTGTGAGGTCGAACTTTTGCATCATGGCGGCCTCGTCCGGCTCCTCTTCGTCCAGGTCAAGGGTCTCCAGTCCATCCCGCAGGTCACTCACTGCCTCACCAATGCGGGTTGCCTCCCCAAGTTCCACCATGAGGTAGCGCAGCACGTGGACAATCGCCAGGACGAAGATAGCCCTGTTCTCTCGAGACATGTGTGAGACATACCTGCAAATATCATCCTGCAGAGTCCTGGGCAGCCAGTGCTCGGGAACTCGCCCTGCGGACTCCCTTTGATAAAAGCTTCTATCAAAGAGCAGGAAGAGCCAGAGGTCGGCTGCCTGATCCGTTGTCATAGGTTCTCGCAGGTCAGGGACGCCCGGTGGGAGGTTCTCTTCGAAGTCACGAGGGCGCCTAGAGATTCGGTCACCACTACCCGTTGCCCTCTCTGCCCCCTCCTCAGTCTCCGGAATCACTTCCACCACGTCGTCAGCATCCGGCAAAGAGTGCCTCCCGCATCGTCCTGTGGGGTGTCTGCTGGAGGTGGGCCGAACCGGAGTCCCAAGGCGACTGCTAGAATTAGCTCCGCTTTTTTGGCGGCGCTCGGCGGGCAGCTCTGCGGATGCGATCCATGTGCTCGTCCCCCAGTCTTCGCACCTCGCGGGTGACCCGCTCCCTGGGTCGGCGTGGAGATCTGGAGTCTCTGCCTCGGTCCCTGTGTCCGCCCCTGTCGGATCGGCGGGGCTCCCGATCTCTTTCCATGAGGTTCACCACGTCGTGGTCCGCCTCCGTCGGTCCCTCCCTTTGAAAGGCTTGGTAGAGGTGTGCTTCCATTTGCGTGGCCCACTGGTAAAAGCACGGGGGAGTGCGGTCGTGACAAACCCAGCCTGTGTTCGGGATGGCCGCCTCGAGGGTGTGGAGTGCCCCTTCCGCCCACCGGTGAAAGGTTTGCTGTGGTCTCGCGTGAATCCTCGCCGGAGCATGGCGAGTGCCATATCGGTCGCTCGCCCTTCTTGGTGCCATGCGTCCAGGACATCCAGGAGTTGCTCCCACGTTCTGCCAGGATTCAGGTGGTGCTGGAAAAGGCTGAGCTGGTCCGGAGCACTTTCATCATCCTGGCCATCATGCGGCCTGATACTCGGGCGTCTATGCGGGGTGCGGGAGCGGGACAAAGTTCTCCGTTCCTGTTCTTCCTCTTCAGATCGTTGACCCCGTACTGGTACCCTGTATCCCAGTCGCTGCATCGTGCTCTCATGAATCATGTTCCTCGTCGCAATGGGGCAGACCTGCATAAGCCATCTGTGTCGCAGCTGCCCTGTCAACCATGCGAGGAGCTCCGTAATCTCTTCCTGAGACGGTGCCCCCATGCGGTCAATAACGGGGTCGTCCTGAATCGGGTCGTACTCCTGCAACGCCCGGAGGATCAAGTTCATCCGCGGTTCCATGTCGTCAACGAACCGCTGGTCATCAGTGGCTCGGATGGTGACGACAACGTCCCGCTGGAGTGCCGTGGTTTCCATCCCCCTGTCGAGAAGCAACTGCAATCGTTCCACCGCATCTTGAAGCCATCTGGGCGCCGTGGAGAGGGTGTCCTCTTCATGGAAAGACCGTCCCAGGTAAAAGGACGTTGCTGCGACAGTCTGTTGCAGGCCAAGAAGGTTCACCTCTTCCGTGTCTGTCCCGGGGGTGTCCGGGTCGGAGTCAGAGGCGTTGGAGCTTGAAGTGGCGCTTTGGGGCGATGCCGGCAAAGCTGGCAACATGTCGATGTCACAGAGCTGGTGTGGGGAGTCAGGGGCGCGGTCAACGGGCTGCTCTCTGAATCGGGAGGTGGCATCCCGGTAGGTGCTGTGGGCACATTCCTCCACCCAATCGGCCCATGCATACTCAAGGTTGTGCGGGTCATCGCTGTCGTAGAGGTGCCACTGCACTGCCGGTCCAAACTCCATCCTGAGTCCTCGAAGTTCTCGCTTGGACCACTTCCAGTACTGCTTGTCCCCTCTCTGGTCGATATTGCGCACGACCTGCGTCCACGCCAACTCCCAGCCAAGTCCTTGCACCCGTAGTCGCTGCAGCCGTGCCAGCGCACGGGGCATCCATTCTCCAATGGCCGCTGGGATGGGAGAGGTCATCTCGTTCCTGTTGTTCGGGATCGTGCTCTGGTGGTCCTCCCCGGGGCTCAGCTCCCGCCGAGCTTGATCATCAACCGGAGAATCGCGCCGTCGGGGTAGACCAGCGTCCTCACCGCAGCTTTCGTTCACATGAGCGACGGGTGCCGACGTCACATGCTCAGAGGACGAGGCAGCTTCCGACCCTGCAAAAGAATCTTGCAAAATGAATTGCCCGCGAAGCTGTACATCTCGATCCTCGTCGTCAAGAGGAGGCCGAGGTCGATGCGGGCCTTCAGCAGCTTCACCAGGAGAGGCTGCTGGCTTCCATGGAATCACCGCTCCAAAGAGGATCGCGGCACCGATACGGAGGGTCATGATGCACACGGCAGAGCGAGAGCTAACCCTAGGGCTCGATCGCTGAGAAAATCAGGTCGGCGGCCTTCACAACTCAGCAGAAAGGGCATCTGAGAGCACACCCTTCAGCACTGACCCTGTACATCGTCGGCTCTCCCTATGTCTGTCTGTCAAACTCTCATTCGAGACGTGTGTAGACGAGACCGGGGCCATGGACAAGAAAACGACAAAGGCAAAAGGCCCTTCTTGAAAAGTGGGAGTAAACACATGTTTCAACATGTTGGAGTATCACTCTCTCGGCATGTTTCGCTCGAGGAGAAAGAAAAGGATAGAATAAATACAAGACCCTCAGTCAGGCAAGTCAGTAAAGGATAGGTCTGGTGTGCTTCACCTGGAGAACGAGGTCGTCCCTGTACCAATGCCACCCCTTCAACCCTGTGCTACCCTTCCGTGATGGAGAACTGCCTCCCCGAGGACCAGGGGAGGTCCATGTGTTTCACCCAGGCCTCTTCCCTGTTCTTCCAACCCTGTCTGTCGTAGGCTAGGTTTCGCCACGGGGTCCCGGCCACAGCGTCGAGGTTGTTGAGGCGGGGGTAACGCTGAACATGTGTGGCACCGTCCTTCTTAGACTGTTCATGTAACCACCAGGGCCGGGTGCGGTAATTTTCTAATTCCGTGCTAATGGGTGGGTGCTGGTGCAGCGATCCACGTGCTCGATGCCCCGCAAAGCCCCAGTAGCGCCTAAGCCATGTGGTGCTCCATCGTTCCACTCCCGAAGAGTGGAGGGCCGCCCTGGCCCCTCGGAAAGCCCTCTGCCGGAACTCAGCCCAAGACTCGTCAACCCTCTTGGCCAGGCGAAGCAGCCAAATCATCAGCTGCAGTTGTACCGAATTGAGTAGTGACATCGCCGCCCGGTCCGGCGGTACGCAGGCCACCGCCCACAGGGCGGTAGCACCCACCACCCTCTCCATAACCCGGACCCGCGATTTCATGTGACCTCGGGCACGGAAGATGTGCTTGCACTCCCAAAATTTACTCCTTGCCCTGGAGGCCATCGGAGCCACCAGTTCATATATAGGGATTCCCACCCTCATCTGGATGCCCATCACCTCTAGGTTCTCGGAGGCCTTCACCTCGACTCCATTAAGACTGAGGGATTGCTTGCCTGTGACTCTGTGGGAGACATAAAGCTGGCATTTCGCCGGGTTGAGTCTGAGACCAAACTTGGCTAGTTCGACCGAAAGTTGATCCACCCTGTTCTGCATCACTCGCATCTCACCGCTCCACATGAGACCGTCGTCCATGTACATCATTTCCTCCGGAAGAAGTTGCGGGAAGAGGGAGGGGACAAATCTCCAACCGTACTTCTCAATCGATTCGGCGAGGATGACCTCTGCTATATGTGCAAAGAAGCAAGGCGACTCAATAGCGCCTTGTTTAATTCCAGTGTGCATCTTTACCGAGGAAGCCCCCCAAGGTGTTTGAAGCAAGCCCGTTGTACTCGCTAGGAGACCACGCCAGCAATTCATCTCTGCCCCCGGGCCAAGTCTGTTCTCAAGCTGGCAAAGAAGCGCTCCCCTGTCCAGGCAGTCGAAAGCCTTACTAAGGTCCAACTTGAAAACAACAAGGGGATTACCCCATTCCCTCGTCAGCTCAAGAATACGGATAATTGTGAAGATGTAATCCCCGGTCTGTCGCCCTGGTCCTGAAGTCTGAGTGCACGTCTGCGGTCGGATGTGCGGTAGGGCCCTGTTCAACAACAATCGGCAGAACAGTTTACAGACTGTGGATCCCATGGCAATCGGGCGAAGGTCCTTAGCGGTCTGCGGCGCCCTGATTTTAGGGAGCATAACAAGGACAGGCTGATTCCATTGTGGTGGGATGTGCTGACTGGACAAAATATCATTGTACCAGGCCAGGAGATGCTCTTCACCGCCCGGGAGTTCCATAAGACCTAAGACGAGCTCCGTGGAAGACTTGTCGACCCCCACCGCCTTCCCTTTCTTCAATTGCGCCACTCCGGCACGAAGCTCCTCCCGCGTGAAGAGGATGATGTCCCCTTGCCAGGGGCTATCCACTGGGTGCTGCTCCGGTCCTGAATAGACCTGAGAGAGGTGATCGTGAACAACCTGATGGGGATCCTTCGTCTGTGCCTCGGCGAAAGTGATGTCCCAACCCTCCTGCCTCTTGGGCTTGAGAGCTTTGAAGGAGTGCCAGTCACCCTCGCTCGCTCTCACCAGACGCTGGTGCTCCCATTCTTTTCGTGCTTCCCTCCGCATTTTGAGAGCCCGCTTCCACAATACAGCCTGACCCGCCAACTTTGCTTTCTTGAAGGCGGCCTTGATCTCCTCGCTATCCTTGTAACCCTGCCCTCGCACCGGTCTTGTGCATCTCTCGGACAGGTCTGCCACTGTGTCTTGGTCCAGTACATCAACCCTCTCGATCCCTCCACACCACTGACGAGGTTTGGTGTCGTGTCTGGGGTAGGTCTTCTTGGCAGTTGTTGTAATGGTCACCTCAATCAACTCATGGTCTGTACCTATGCACATGAAAGAGTCTTCATAAACACGATGAGCAGTCATCCTCAGGTGTTTGGTGGCTGCGATGTCGATGCATTGCCCTTGTCTACCTTCCTGTCTCGGTCTGCTGGTAGGTGTATCGAGTTGGCTCTGTGAGTGGGGTGCCAACAGTAACCCTCGTTCCACCAGAGCCTTGTGCAGCAGGTTGCCTTTCCCTTCCTTGGCGGTGCCCACCACATCCCCTTCTGTTCTAGCCCACAAGAAGGGTGTGTTGACATCTCCCTGAAAAACCACTCTGTGGGACGTGGCAGGTAGCACTTCAAAATGGGCCTGTACTTCGCGCTCGTACTTGTCCACGGAGGCCCCAGGGCTAAAGTGAGCCGTACCCACCCAAAGTTCAAGGTCCCTCCCGAGGTGTCGTAGCTTGAACCATGTCCCTTTGCCACTCCGAAGCTTGCGAACGACACACCATGTACTCTGGTCATACCATAGTCCTGTACCACGCCACTGGTCCGAAGCCCTGTGTGCCACCACTCGTCTCCCTCCAACCTCACTGTAGCTCCAACCCTCACTCTCTCTAGGGACTTCTTGCAGTAGGACGAGATCATCTTTTCCCAGGCTGCTGCCACGTACATCGAGAAGGGCAGTTGACAGAGCGATAAGCTCTGCCCCGCCAATGTTCCACCCAAGGATTCTGAACTCCGAGCCACCGCCACTATTGGCGGAGGGTCGAAGCAGCAGTTCAGCATCACCTGAAGAGCTAACAGCGAGGTTCTGCGGCTTGCCATCTCGGACAGCACTGTTGCACTCAGAGAAAAAGAGATCCTGTCAGAACCGATGTTCTTTGACTATCTCGCGAACCGCCTCCACATTGGTTTCGCACCATCTTGCCAAGGTGTTCTCGTCCAACCATCCCTTGCCTGCCTTCGTCATCACTTCGGCTGGGTGCCGCACTTCCCGAGGTGCTTCGCCCATTCCACTAAGTTGATCGTCACGCACCCACGACATACCTGTGCTAAATTCCACTTCCAAGTCGTCAGCACGAGCAGGTTGAAGACGTAGTATGCATTTCTTCACGAGGGCAGCCAAAGCCGCTCTGCCACGTTCCTCTGGAGATTTCGAAAAGGAACTCCATAGTGCCTTGTGGCCGCCTTCGAGCTCAACCTTGGCGGCACTGACTGTCTGGAGCACTTTAAGCATCCGCTCTCGACAACGGTCGTCGGTTTCCCCATCCCTCCGACGAAAGTTGCAAAGGGCAACTGATCGCCTGAGGCCCGTAGTAAATGGGGCCTGGTCGAGGTCCTTGTCCAATCCCAGACCACGAAGCGCTGCGTCCAACTGATGCAGCAGAACCCCTTTACGAGTTTGATTCTGCCACCCGCCGAACACAAGGGTCTGGCGGCGATTCGGTCCAGCACTGTGCCCTCCTGCATGATTGTTCTCCACCCGGTAGACACGGTCCCCTAAGTCGCGGAGCTGCCTCTCGAGGTCTTCCATCTTCCCACCCTGCGATGAAACCTGTTGGTCCAAGGCATCCATCCTCTGATTTTGTCGCGCTTCCAAGTCCTGAAGTGCCACCTTAAGCTGGTTCCGCTGAGCATCAAGAAGGACTTGCGACTGTTCGGACAAGAGCTGCCTCATGACATCATGGGTCACAGTGATCTCTGAGGTCGTCACCCCACCCCTTGGCCTTTTCATAGGACTGTCCATCAATTTCTCCCCTGTTGGCCGCTCTTCGAGGTCCGGGTCATCCTCATCAGTCATCGCCCCCGGCAGCGGGATCTTGAGCCCCTTCGCGGTCATGCTGCTTCTCTCTCCTTGGCGTCGAGCTTCGGGCGGATCGTGCCGAACGGGCTCCCCCCTGGGTACACCTTCCGCCAGCTCAAAGAAGAAATCGAGAATCGGGTAATCTAAGAGGAGGCCCTCCCCTCACCGCGCCGAAAGCCTGAAGCACAAACGTTCCGATGATCCTCGTCAGGCAGGGGAAGCGATGGCGGGGCGACCAAGAACCCTTAGGGAGGAGGGGCAACACTACCAGACAGCCGACCCAGCAAAAACACACCAGGCCCTTGAGCCAAAAGGGTATAGGGTTTAGGGTTTAGGGTTTAGGGTTTCGTGGCCTCAGCCATGGAGATCTATAGGGCCTCTGGGCTCGAAACGGTTTGGTTCCCCGAGGCCAATGGGGTTATAAGCAGCTAGCCACTGAACCTTGACGGGTGCCCTTTGGGTTTAGGGTTTAGGGTTTAGGGTTAAGGGTCTAGGGTGCCTATTGCTTTCCGGTAGGTGCCGAAAGCTTAGATAATATTGGGAACTCGCACGGCAAAGGGCCAGGGTGTGCCTGAGATTCTGTCGCATGCTGTGCCACTGCTGCTTGCACCAGTTGATCGGCCTGCCAGAAGCGGCAAGAAAATCTGTGCTAAACACATGGTAGAACTGCGTGCGCTGCTGAAACACACTAGCTGGATCGATGGTGCGAGCCATGCTACGGCTGTAGAATCTAAGAAGCCGTGACGTGTAGCCGAAGTCCGGGATAATACGACATCCCTACACGGGAGGAACTACAAGGGCAAATGCTACTAATCCTTCAGACCCCCCATACTAGATTACAACACATATCTGTTACTTTCTTGGGCTTGAACATAAGTTTACCCTGCAAAGCCGTAAGACTCCGAAGCCCGAAGGCCCGAAGGAGAGAGAGAAGCAACCACAAAAACTCAGCCCCAGAACCTCAACTACAAAACTCTCCCACCCTTCCTCTCCGAAAAACCAGCGAATCCGAAACTCAAAGCACTGAATCCTAGGCGCCGAAATCCGTCACAACAGCCCGAATCCGAATATGCATCCCACACACTCTGAACTAAGATGCACGACAACCCTAACAATAAATTGACCGGCGACACTCAAAGAGCCCCGAAACCCCGCTTTCCGAATCACCCGATGCCGACCTCCCTGGCGGCTTGACGAGCTGCCTGGGCAGAAAGGGGATGATCACGGTGGGTTTTAGGGCTTACTAGCTCACGCTCTCAGAAATCGGACAAGCGTGGTTTACTAGTTTACGCTCTCACGACTCGGACATGCCAGGCGACGTTCAATAGGTCTGGGTCGGCGTGATACAATTCCGGGCAGACAGTCTAGGGTTTCGGGTTTACGATAGTTTTGGAAAGGTAGGGTGCAAAGCGGGGGAATTTCGGGCCCTGCCAGGAGTCCAAGCGGCTTCAGAAGGGCTTCTTGGGGTTGAGAAGGAAGACTTTATGAACCCTAAACCGCAAACTCCCTGAACCTACATCATGAGCTCCCCGACCCTGATCAACCTGGCCCTGAGGGGAAATTCGGCATTTATGGGCTCTGCCTGGGTTTTCTAGTAGGCTTTCAGAATTCAAGCCCAAGACTTCCGGATGAAGGTCATGAGGTGTCCTGAAGCAAAGCTGGCTGAAGTTTTTCTACCCTCACCCCGTGGACCTCTCAAAGTTTTATCGGGACTCCAACGTCAGCCTTTCCAGGGAGCTTACCGGCCCTACATGCGAATAAGTTTTTGAAGCTTAGCAATTTTGTAGCAAGTCGCCGTGCGCTGTCCGTGTTAGTATCGGCCATAGAGCTTTAAGGTGGCTTTCCACGCAGCAAAGCTCCCGACTCCGCCCCAAGCCGAGAAAAAAGTTCAGAGGACTCGAAAACACTGAGACGCGCGCCGCTGCTTCCGCAGCTTTTCTGGCCGCCTGCGCTGCTTCATCAATTGGCTTTCGAAGAACCAACGCATAAAAGACTAATATCTGTTCCAGCAACCATAGCAACCATATAATAGGCCCTAGACCAAACCTTACCCCTAAAGCGTTTGATCCCAAGCTCGGAGACCCTGAGCCTTTTTAGCCCGTTCCTGAAACACGAAACCATGAAAGGGAGTCCCCAAGACCGCAGGCGTTCTAGGTTTCAGGTAACATAGGGGCCTGAATAATTAGACTAGGGTTTTGGGGCCCATTGTACTATACTTATAATAAGGAACCCCCCGAAATAGTATAGGTAATTATCTAGGTTTCAGGCGGACAACCCCCCGTCCTCTGCTTCGGCGTGGCGGGCGGCCTCGGCATCGGCTTTCTCTGCCTTGGCTGCAGGAGATTCGGGTTTCAGGGTTTAGGGTGTTTAATATAGGGGCCGAAATAATTAGAGTAGGGTTTGGGGGTTGGGGCCTCTACATTAAGTGAAGGCTCGTCGGGAACGAAACTCGACTTGAATTTTCGAGCCCGAAGTAGCACTACTTCCTCGCGCGCCCCTTTTTGATAAGTTGTTGGTTGCCTTTCTGAAAGGGGGGTGGGGGACTTAGGACTTGCAGGGATTCTAGTCTAGTCTTTTTGTCGTTGATTGAGCGTTAGGGGGCTAAAGAAAGGGGAGCACCCCCTCTTTCAAAAGCATGAGAAGACAGCGTTACATTGTACACGCAGGATACAGACGGTGTTAAGCAGAGTTGGTTGAAGACTGGCTCCCATACAGTTTGCAAAGATAAGTGCTCAAATGCAGCCCAGCCAATCATTTAATGTAAGTCTTTGACGCGCTCAGCATTATTCTGTCTGCGTTGCCGCCCGTTGCCTAGGTTTACAGCCTGCTGGCTGGCTCTAAACAATGCAAGCTTCTGCAATGCATCGACCCTGAATATCTCCGCATAGACTACGGCTGAGGATTTTGGGATCCAGCTTGGGTACCGCAACGACACAGCTATCAGCTATCACAGCGGTGGCGACGAAGCCTGTGTTTCGTGTATGCAATACGGCTGCGAGTACAGCACAGCACACCCTCGAAAGAAGGTACACCCCAAAATACACCCCAAAAGCAAAGCACGCTAGGATCTCCCAAGCATTATTCTTAGTTCCTGCTCCACAAACGCTCTCAGCATCGACCCATATCGAACATCCGAAAGTGTTGCCGCAACCGACAACAAAACAACAACAACCCGCAAAACTGAGAGCTTGAAGCTGCAAACGGTGAGCCATGCACCTCTATGTGAAACCCCAGCAGACCGTTAACAAACAGAAACTGAGCGTTGTGCTGCCTCCCGGGCCGCTTTTCTTGCAGCCTCCAAAAAGATGAACTATACAAAACAATGTTATTCATCGCCAAAGCCTTGAAGAGGCAGCTTGGGGTTGAGGGCTTGGGGTTAGAGGCTTGTACATATAGGACTTTGGGGGTCTGGAGTTAAGGGTTTAGGTAGTGTGTGCTATCTTTTAACTGCTAGTGGGAAAGCCGGGTGGGTGATGGTTCGTATATCATCGTATAAGTATATAAGGGCCTTCAAGGAGATAACATTGCGAATCATTCAGACCTTGAGGCTGCAAGTGAGAATGCGGGTTAGCCGACCGGCTGTCGAATCAACGACTGTTGAGTCTCCTACATACGGTTTAGGGTTTAGGGTTTAGGGTTTAGGGTTTAGGGAGAAGTGGATGCTGAATGGTAATGGTTGTTGTGCGGTGAAAAGCAATAGAGACACGCAGGCAACATCACAAGGCAACTACAAATCGCAACAAGTTTGTCACACGTCAACTCTTACAAGTAGCGCCCTGAAATCGGGCATTTCTTAAAAGTGCACGCCGCGTGTTGTTTGTTCCAAAACCCTTTCCCAAAATAAAGTGTCTGCCTGGGATGCTGTGGACGAGCAGTACTACTTAAAGGATCATGGGACTTAGTAAGTAGGGTTATAACTAAGGTAACTATACTTATAACCCCAATTAAGGGACTTATAACCTTAATTACTAAGTCCCATGATCCTCTACGTACCTTTCCGGAACCTTTAGTTGAACTGCTTTAAGGACGGCCTGGCCTTACACGGTTTCTAACCTTCCAACTTCCAACCCTTCAACTGAACTCCTTGAGGAAAAGCCCTAAAGCCCTATACTCCCGGGCCGGGTTAGTTTGCTATAATCGACTGCGATACCCCAAACCCCAGTCCACTTATTAACGCACCGAAGGATTCGTCTTTGACGAACCCTAAACCCTAAAGCCTAGTCTGCAACCCCTAAGCCCTATTTAAACCCTAAGCCCTAAACCCCTAAGCCCCAAGCCCTACACCCCTAAATCCTACACCCTAGTCTTAGAGGAAGCCCTGCCTCTGCGTCGGCCTCGGCTTTCATCGCCTCGGACACACCCCACATACCGCGCTCAGCCGGGGAAGGGCCGGGTGCGTGGGTTTAGGGCTTTAGGGTTGTAGGTGTTCAGGGGAAATTGAATTGATTTTAGGGGTTGGGTTAAGGCTTAGGTTTTTTGTTTTCCAAGGGGGTTTAAGGCTCAGGGTTTCGGTGTACATGCGTGTGCGTGTGCTTTTCGTGGTGGGCGGCGGAGGGGATGAAGGTGTTGAAGTTTTTGGGTGTTCTTGCTCAGGAGATTCAGGGTGCATTAGGGCTTTCGGGGCTAAACCCTAAACCCTAAACCCTTCAGGGCTTTACGGCTAATAAGTTATAAACTTTTGGGTTTGGGGTTCAGGGCTAGGGGTGCTTTGGTTGGCCTTAACTTTACACTTTATGGGTTGCGAGCTTCGGGCGACAACAATTTTCGTCGAGCTGTTGCAGAAACATGAGCTTCGGTTTACAAAAAGCCTTATGGCACACCCAAAGATCTCCGCCTTGAAGGTGCGCGCGCGCACACACACACAAAACACAAACTAACACCCCAAAGCTATTTTACGTAGAGTCAGGCAAACTCTAAGCCCCCCATCCAAGCTCTAATAACACACCCGCAAATTCCGAGTACCTAGATCAACAACATGCGCGTTTCCAGATGAAGAATGCTATCATGGTTAGCCGATGTACCCCGACGATACATGA